GCTCAGGAGTTCCTGGACAACATAATGAAACCCTGCCTCTACAAAAATACAAAAATTAGCTGGGCATGATGGCACATACCTGTAGTCCCAGCTACTGGGAAGAGTGAGGCAGGAGAATCGCCTGAGCACAGGAGGCAGAGGTTGCAGTGAGCCAAGATCACTCCACTGTACTCCAGCCTGGGTGACAGAGGGAGATTCCATCAAAGAAAAAAGATACAATGGACTTTGGGGATGTTGGGGGGGGGAGGTGGGAAGGAGGCAAGGGCAAGGGATAAAAGACTACACATTAGATACAGTGTACACTGCTTGGGTAATGGGTGCACCAAAATCTCAGAAATCACTACTAAAGAACTTATCCATGTAATCAAACAGCACCTGTTTCCCCAAAACCTATTGAAATAATAAAATGTTAAACATAGGGTTACTATGTAATCCAGCAATTCCACTCCTAAGTATATATCCAAGAGAACTAAAAACATATTCAAACAAAAGTTATGCATGAATGATTGAGGCATTATTCATAAAACCCAAAAGAAACAACCCAAATGCCCATGAACTGGTTAATATTTAAACAAATGTGCTGGCTGGTGCGGTGGCTCACACCTGTAATCCCAGCACATTGGGAGGCAGAGGTGGGCAGATCACAAGGTCAGAAGTTTGAGACCAGCCTGGCCAATATAGTGAAACCTCATCTTTACTAAAAATACAAAAGTTAGCCAGGCATGGTGGCAGGCACCTGTAGCCCCAGCTACTTGGGAGGCTGAGGCAGGAGAATCTCTTGAGCCTGGAAGGCAGAGATTGTAGTGAGCCAAGATAGCGTCACTGAACTCCAGCCTGGGCACCAGACAAAGACTCTGTCTCAAAAAAAAAATAATACAAATAAAAAATAAAAATAAGCAAATGTGCTATATCCATACCATGGATTATTTTAGCCATAACATGAAATGTAGTACAGATACATGGATTTAACCCTAAAAATATTATAATACATTAAAGAGCCAGACACAAAAGAGTGCAGATTGCATGATCTCATCTATATGAAATGGCCAGAATAGGCAAATCCAGACAGACACAAAGTAGATTAGTAGTTGCCAGGGGCTGGGGAAGGGGGAATAAGGAATGACTACTAATAGAAATGGAGCGTTCATTTTAGAAAAATGTTCCAAAATTGGTTGTGCTAATGGATGCACAATTTTCTGAGTGTGCTAAAAAGCAGTGACTTGTATATTTTTATGTGATGAATTATATTGTATGTGAACTGCATATCAACAATAAAAAATAAACCAGCCCATAGATTTAATAAAATTCAGGTACAAGATTGGTGGGAAATTTTATAGTGTGGGTTAATCAAGATAAGAATACTTCAACTCACTGATCTTTTATATCAAGTATATGCAAAACATATGTGAGTGTGGCCGGGTGTGGTGGCTCATGCCTGTAATCCCAGCACTTTGGGAGGCTGAGGCAGGCAGACCACCTGAGGTCAGGAGTTCAAGACCAGCCTGGCCAACATGGTGAAACCCCTCTCTACTAAAAACACAAAAATTAGCCGGGCATGGTGGTGCTCACCTATAGTCCCAGCTACTCTACTCAGAAGGCTGAGGCAGAATTGCTTGAACCCAGGAGGCGGAGGTGGCAGCGACTGCACTGCTGCACTCCAGCTTGGGCAACAGAGCAAGGCTCCACCTCAAAAAATAATAATAATATGTGAATGCTGAAATCATGCAATCAAAGTACAAAGCATCAACTATGAATGTTCTTGCCAAAACAAAATATTGTACCTAAATCTAACCAAATCCATAGAACTAACTACAAGATATTCTGCTTAAAAAGGAGTATGTTTTGCACTGGAATAGTGAAATGTAGAAAGTGAAAAATTCTACAGGACCAATAGTAGACTAATCTCTCGCCAAAGGAATAGCAAAGAATAAAACAGGGAGAATTGTTACAGATTAGAAGATGAAGAGGAAATATTTGAATCAATATTATTTGTAATACTTCTTTTTTAAAATTTTATTTTAAGTTCCACAATACATCTGCAGGACTTTCCGGTTTGTTATATAGGTAAACGTGTGCCATGGTGGTTTGCTGCACCTATCAACCCACCACCTAGGTATTAAGTCCCACATACATTAGCTATTTATGCTGATGCTTCTTTAGATCCTAATAAGAACAAGAAAAATTTAAGAGGCGTATTTAGGTCAAACAGGGAAATTGGACATGGATGTTTTCATGTGCCATTAAAGAATAGTTATAATTTTTTAGAGGCAATGATGGCATCTTGGTTACATTTCCCTAAAGTCCTTATTGTTTAGGGTGGATATTATTGTAAACTGCATGGATTATATAGCTTCTTAGAATTCATGTGTGAATTCACATGATAATTGGAATATACTTCGACATATTTCAGCCCCCAAAATAGCAAATAAAACATAATTGGTAAATGGTGATTTGTTTTGTTTTTGTTTTTGTTTTCAGACAGGGTCTTGCTCTGATGCCCAGACTGCAGTGCAGTGGCGCGATCTCTGCTGAAGAAAATGGTGATTATTAGCCGGGCATGGTGGCTAACACCTGTAATCCTAGCACTTTGGGAGGCCAAGGTGGGTGGATCACCTGAGGTCAGGAGTTCAAGACCAGCCTGGCCAATACCCTGTCTCTAGTAAAAATTCAAAAATTAGCCAGGCGTGGAGGCAGGCGCCTGTAATCCCAGCTACTTGGGTGGCTGAGGCAGGAGACTAGCTTGCCTCAACAAGCAAGGGTGGCAGAGGTTGTAGTGAGCCAAGATCGCGCCATTTCACTCCAGCCTGGGTAACAAGAGTGAAACTCCGTCTCAAAAAAAAAAAAAAAAAAAAAAAAAAAAAAAAAAAAAAAAAAAAAAAAAAAAAAAAAAAAAAAAAGAAAGAAAGAGAGAGAAAGAAAGAAAGAAAGAGAAAACGGTGATTATTGGATTATTGTTGAAGCTGGTTGGTGGGTACATGAAATTTTTGATGCATTCTTCTATCAGCTTTGAAATTGTTCATAATAAAGAGTAAACAAGAACAACCAAATTGGAGTTTGAGCATATTATTGAGAACTATGAGTGAAAATATCACAAATAAAAGAGTTGGGCTGGGTGTGGTGGCACAGGCCTATAATCCCAGTACTTTGGAGGCTGAGAAGGGCCGATTGCTTGAGCTCAGGACTTCGAGACCAGCCTGTACAACATGGCGAAACCTCATCTCTACAAAAAGTACAAAAATTAGGTGAGCATGGTGGTGTGCACCTGTAGTCAATGCTACTCAGAAGGCTGAGGTGGGACGATTGTTTGAGCCCAGGAGGTCAAAGCTGCAGTGAGTCAAGGTTTCATCACTGCACACCAGCCTGGGCAACAAAGTGCGACCCTGTCTTAAAAAAATAAAAATGCAAATAAAGAGTTGATTATGGTCACATTCACAGAGCTATAATTGCTTGGATTTCAAGAGAGGATTGAAAAAAGGTGACTTTTGTTTAAAGTATTGTAAAAATATTCAGCAGCTTGAGGTACAAGATGTCGATTTTTAATGGGCCTTTGAATCAAAATGTAGTAAGTAGAAGGAAGTTATATAATGCACTTCTTTTATAAGTGCACTATACTGTTGACAAGGTCACCTCTGGGAATGGCATGAAGATTAGGACTGGTGAACAAAGGTGACCTTCATTAATTTCTTCAACAAACATTTGTTGAACATCTAGTATATGCTCATCATGTTCTTAATGTGGAAAGTACAGCCACGAAATAGACCCAAAATATCCCAATTCACATGGAGCTCACATTCTAGTAGAGGAGACTGATACAATAGGATCAGTAAGTTATGTATGTGTCATTATAGTCGTAAGTGCTACAACAGCAAACTAAGCAGGGAAAGGGAACAGTGTGTGGTGGGTATGGGATTTGCACCTCTGGGTGGATTGTAGAGCTAAGGCCTCGCTGAGAAGAAGACATCAGAGGAAAGATCTGAGGGAGGAGATGAGAGAACTCTGTGGATATCTGGGAATGGGGATTTCAGTGAGAGAGGGTATCCTGAGCTTTCCATGGATTTTTCCCTGTCAACGTAGTCATCACTGACAAACAGTAATGTTCCGCCAGTCTTGATACAAGGGGTGCTTCATTGTTGTTTGGCAGCATGAATTGGTCAGGATTAAGGCCACAGTTACCTTGATGGTTCACATAATTAGGACATGGTTTCAGACCTTTGATGCTTTGAACAAGTCTATAGCCATGCATAGTAACTGTGCATGCTTCTATAAAATGGATGTTTTGGGAATACGTATAAACAGGTATTTGCAATAACCTCTCACTTAAGTGGTTCAGTCCAGTTTTTTAAGCTGTTTACAGTTACTTGAGTATGAATTCCAAACTGTTGCTTAGCACCCAATGTCAGGATACTCAACCATCATTGAAATCAATAAGCTATAGGTGGGAAAACGTTTCTGTGTGTTTGGATGTGGACCTAATAAATTATTTGTTTCATTAGCTTCAGAAAAGGAACAATGGCTTAAGTAAGTAGAAAAGCCTGTTCAGTATCTTTGACCACAAGCCTGAATCTCAGACATTACCCCGTAAGGTTAATAACTGGTCATAGTTGATTATATCACAATAGGTATGACCTTATAAAGACCAGACCAGCTTCAGTCTTAGGCTAATTTCTCCTAAGGGTGGGTAGTGGCTTGGAGGGTTTTAAGAGTTGTTGTTACATTTTAATTTTATTTTACTTTATTTTTAAATAGAGAAGTGGTCATGCTATGTTATCCAGGCTGGTCTCAAACTCCTGGGCTCAAGCAATTCACCTATCTTGGCCTCCCAAAGTGTTGGGATTGTGGGCGTGAGCCACCTTGTTTGGCCCTTGTTATATTTTAAACAGTTTAAAAGACTGTTTTTGTTTGTTTGTTTGTTTTTTCCTTCTTACTGAATACTTACTGTGGAAAATTGGTTTATGTCTGTGGCAAAGGAATTCAACAATACTTTCTTTCCTTTTCAGGTCACACTATTATAAGTACATAGAAGAGTGTCATTTACAGCTGGTGTGGCCCTGTGGTGGTATGGACCCAGACTTTTAAGCACAGATAAAGATCAGACAGACACTGATGTCCCGAATCTGATAAGTATGTAACACAATTCTCAATTGTCCTTTGATTATGTTTTACTCCCTTCTGTACAATAGGCTCATTTTTAAAGGTATGTCTCTCACTGAACTTCCTCTCTTAATATCTGATTAGGCACTGTGTCCATGTATACCCTATGGCTAGGGTTGTTAATTATGATAATCATGAGAGTTCTGTGTGGTTGAAAATAACCTATTTGATAAGTTCTAACACTGCTGAACTCAGATTAAACTCAAATCCCCAGAAAAGTCGTTATTTAACTAAAGCTAAATGCCTTGATATTTGGAAGTATGACTTTCTGAAATGTTCTCATACAGTTTGTACTGGTACCATGGAGGTTTGGTAAAAACCAGATGTTCATTAGGCTTTGACTTGCATCATAGCCATCTTCTCAATGCTCAACATTGAGCAAAGAAAGGCAGGGTTATTTCAGTAATCTGGGACCTTGCAAGGCTATCAGAGTAGACTGATATTTCTATAATCCGCAGAGCTGGGAAACAATTTGGGGTGATCCTGTTTGTCCCTTTGGATTACTGAAAAAAAAAAAAAAAGGACCCTCCTGGCATCCTAAACAGGGATATCTGAAGGCTGTATGAACCTTCCCATGTGAAGTGCACCCTGCAATGTGATGTGGCCTTCTGGTTAAGCAGTTTTATTCACATTTTACTGAAATTACTGTTGTAAATGATCCAGCATAAACTTATTTGTGGTGCATTTCAAAAAAGAAAACTACAGCTCTAGTATGCCAAGTATATATTATTCTTGCCTCCATAGCACAGAGTAGGCTCACAGTAACAATCAAATGTAAATAATTTATTATTTATGATGTATTGTTCATTGTGGTTTTAATAGTACATGCTTATTGTAGGCAATTTAGAAAGTTATACACATTTCATGAGAAAGCCATGAGAGTACTTTCAAACCTTTGTATTGGCTTCCAATTTCTAATGGATCAGCACACATACTCTCCTCGTGACTTGGGCAAACCCTGAAACCAAGGTTCAGCAGATACTGGCTTGTTGCTATGTGCCAGGTCCTTATGATTATGCTTTATTTATCAAAAGTATCGGGGGCAGCAAGAGATAAGGGGACCAGGTAAGAGAGGGTAGTCAGCATCATAAACCCATTATGACTTCATCAACTTGTCACCCTGGTTTTGAACCAATCATTTTACTTCTCTAGGTTTCAACTTTCTCAACTAAAATAAGGATCCAATAAATGAGTGGTTCTTAATATTTTCTTTTTTTTTTCTTTTTTGAGACAGAATTTTGCTTTGTCATCCAGGCTGGAGTGCAGTGGCACAATCTCAGCTCACTGCAACCTCCGCCTTCTGGGATCAAGCGATTCTCCTGACTCTGCCTCTTGAGTAGCTGGGATTACAGGCATGTGTCACCACACCTGGCTAATTTTTATATTTTTAGTAGAGAAGGGGTTTCACCATGTTGGCCAGGCTGGTCTTGAACTCCTGACCTCAGGAGATCTGCCCACCTCAGCCTCCCAATGTGCTGGAATTACGGGCATGAGCCACCTCACCCAGCCAATATTTTATCTTCAAGGACATTTTTGAGAAGCTGGTGAATGGTGTGGGAATTTTTGTAAAAAGCAGAATGTGCACATACATACACACAAATTCAGGAACCTCAAGGACACCTATGGAATTCTCTAAAGAGCTCAGTCTTTTCCAATTTCATACATATATGTGATTCTAGTGTCTTCCATCATTCAGATTATATCAGGCCCCCGCCTAAAACTCTCCAGTGTTGTCCCTTAAAATTAGAATTAAAATAAGAACCAGCCACAGTTAGTTGCCAACAAGACATGTTGCCCCAGACACACAGGTTTTTTTTTTTGTAAGTTATAGTCATGCAGGTATAATTGACAGACAATAATCTGCCCTTATTTAAAGTGTACTATTTGATAAATATTGCCATAGGTGACAGCTGTGAAAGAATCAGTGGAATGAACATATGGGACATATCCATCACATTCCAATGTTGTGGATCCCTATGTATGCACAGTGATGAAACCTACATTATTGCTCCAAGGAGATTGCTTATTTATGTCATAATATGTCATGTTTATGGTTAACTAGGAATAAATTATTATCAAGGCAATTATATATGTATTGAAAGAAAAAGCATCCACCTTGATGATTTGAATGTTCCTGAGTTTCTTTCATTATGTATGTGTATTTTCTGCCTCGGTCCAATGTTATTTAGGCAAAATCTTTCACTAGAGATCCTGAGTTAATGAGTGTTATTGTATATCCTCTTTGCATTGCTTTTAGTTTAAGGGTCATTTGAGTCTTAATCATTTTAAACATGAAGTCTTTGACACATTTCCACTCATAACAAATTACAAAAGAAATTTTAAAAATTCTATAATCATAAAAGTTGAACATATTTTCAATCATTTTAAAATAGTGATAATGCGGTCAAATATATTCATGGATGCTTGGTCTTGACAACCTCTATTCAGTAAGTTATCTAAGGAAAGAATGTACGGTAGCTTATGTTTCATATGTGGTATAGGTCAATTTCTCTTTATTGGCAATTACATAAAAATAATAGCCTACATAGTAGAGTTATCAACGGGCAGCCACCTTTGCCTAAGGGAGGCGACAATTTCTAATTGCTTTTGTTTAATCTTAATAGACTCTTGAGTGGACTTAGTAAAAGTTGAAGAAAGTGAACAAAAACAGTAGTGGAAATTTCATGAAAGGAAGGCATACTATATATTAGATATTATTGTTTTACTTAATTTTTTTTTTTTTTTT